GATGGCAATCCCTCAGGTGAAGTCATGATGTTATATCCCCGAGTGGAATACTCTTCTCCCCAGAGAAGTTTTTTAAAACCTTTAAGTAAGACTGTGGCTCCGCCTATGGCTTTCTATTCCTCTCTTGATAGGTGTATTCTTCTTGCAGAGGTTGGCCGAGTATCCTTGTCGAGATGTTTATGTCATCTCCTACTTCCCTTGTTTGTTTTGTCAGCATAAGCATAAACATGACATCCATTCATTCAAATAGACATACGTAGCATCTGAGCATGTTCATTACCTTGTTGTCTCTTGTCGTTTACTTTGACGTTTATTTTCCAAGTAATTGGGTTTATTTCTTCTCTTCACTTTCGATTTGTTTATCCTACACATATTATATGAATAGTTGAAACTAGAAGAGCTCAGTTCATTGAAAAGGGTGATAATGGTGAAAATAATGATGATAGAAGCACTATATTCTTTCATAGATACACCAAGATAAAATACTCAACCGAACTGAAATCCACCCTTAGGAATGACAATAACGTCATCACTGATTTGAAGCTCATTGTTGATTATGTCACCAACCACTTTAAAACTCTATTTAATCAACCAATCTTATATTTTGGAGGATAATGGACTTGTAGAAGAGACCACCCCAACTCGTTTTAATGATCATGCAAATTACTTGCTCCCTCTCGTTCCTTCTCTTGAAGAGATAAAATATGATATGATGAAGCTCAATAAAGATGGTGCTTCGGAGCCTGATGGCTTTCTTAAAATACGTTGATTTCTATAGTCAAGATGATTCTACGTAATAATCATTCAGTTTGCTAAGTTCAAGCTTCACACTCAACAAGCATTTCTTTCCTCATTGGTTACTACTATAGGACATATTTTTCTTTATTAGCACTAAATTGTTGGCTAAAAATAGTAATACACATTGAAGAGGTAGAGTTGGTACTGCATGTGCAAAGGTCACACAAAAACAAAAGAACGTTTATATACAAACAAACTAGTCTCATATATTTTTCTAAAACTTGCAAAAGCTTACATTTATTATTCTTTTCAAATATGTCAAACCCGAGTTTGTATTTTTTACTCCTTCTCAAGCAAGTTATCTCATTTTTATTATTCATATTGAAGAACCACAAACAAGGCCATAATCTCAAACATTGAAGACAAAGTTCAAATCAAAATGCCAGTTGTTTCCAGTTCTCCTGCTCCGGTCAATAGGTGGTCACCGTTGCTGATTCCGACAATTCTGGTGGTAAATGTGATCCTGTTTATGGTGACAATGTATGTCAACAATTGTCCAGAGCTTTCCCTTCTTCCTGATTCATGTTTGGCTCCATTTCTTGGTCGATTCTCATTTCAGCCACTCCAACAGAACTATCTCCTCGGTCCTTGTTATTATCCGTGAGTGCTTTTCTTCATTTCAGCAATGTATTTTGAATCAACTGTATTCAATCCAAATATGAGTTAGAAATGTGTATGTTTTTCTCACATCTGTTTGTTTTTCAGGTTAACAAAGATGGGTGCCTTACATCCGGAAAAACTGGTTCGTAGACACCAGGCCTGGCGCCTATTCACATCTATATGGTTGCATCAAGGGGTTTTCGATTTGCTTCTCAACATGTGGGTTCTTATAGTCATTGGAATCCCTATGGAGAAGAAGTTTGGATTTGGTAAGGTTCTGGTTATTGGCTTTTGATTTCTTCTATGTGCAATTTTGAATATGAAAACAGTTTAATTTACTTGTTTTTTTTTTGTAGTTCGAATTGGATCGGTGTATGTGGTATCTGGTTTGGGAGGAAATTTGCTGTGTGCTTTATTCCTTCAATCGATCATCTATGTTGGTGCATCTGGTGCAATATTGGGCTTACTAGGAGGGATGCTATCCGAGCTTTTAACAAATTGGAGAATACATACTCATAAGGTAAATCCATAAGTTTATACATTATTAAGTTCAATGATGATATCCAAAAAATATGTATGAAATTTGTTAGTTTCCTTTTTGTTATTGTTTTGCAGTTTGTTAAGATGTTGATTCTTATTGGAATCATTATAACCTACTTAGTTATTGGAATTCTTTCATTTGGAGATAATTTTAGTCACATTGGAGGATTTACATCAGGATTTCTTCTGGGATTTGTCATTTTGATTCTCCCTCATTATAATGGGCTTAATCGGACAAATTCTTATCAGATCTTTATGTACTTGTGTCTCCAAATCTGAAAGCTGGTTTGTTTACAGATTGATTGGCGGCCTCGTCTTGTTCCTTAAAGGGGTGAACTTGAATGATTACTGCTCTTGGTGCCACTATCTAACTTGTGCCTCTCCAGGCTGTAAACCAGGTTACATTTCTTGTGAGGTGAGTGATGTTGCTGCTTTCTTCTGTATTCATTTTACCTTTGCAGCTTCTATGAAGCACCGACGTAGAAGTGATTTACAAATTTTAGAAATAAAGAAAAACTTGAAAACTTTGGGTAATATTTGTAGACTAGTTAGAACTTACACAACAATTGTTTAGTTCTGCTGACACATATTAAAAGAACCAGTTTCGATTCTGCATATATGGTTAATTTATTTGCCAAACAAATTTTCTTATGATGATTTAATGCTTGCAAAGTTCAACAATTAAACTTGAGTTGTGATCAACACTAGATTACAACTGAAATGATATAACTAACAATTTTGTGATGTAATGCTGCAGAGTTACCATGAGGAAAACCAACTTAATGTGATATGCTTGAACAATGAGGGATGTGGCATTTTTACTCTGTCAAACCGTAACCCTGATGAGCTGGCTGAAAAGCATTGTTATCTCCTTTGCGGTAAATAGCCAGACGCACGAATGCAGCACCTCTTCGGGTGATACCATAGGAATGAATCAGTATGGCTGTTGTCTCTACTATCATTAGTAGATATATCATTAATACATTAATTATAGCTTATATTACAATCTCCTAGCTATGAAATTACTCTGCAGGATATGTATATTTCATAACTTTGTGTGAATGAATGTTACTGAATCTTCTCATATCACAATGTTTCACCATTTGTAAAAATATATACTATGATTTAGATTTCGTCAAAGATCTTCGTTTTGATATGTCTAAAGGCATTACCTCCCTTTAAAAAAAAAAAGTAAATGAGTTGTGCAATAGTGACAGGCTCAAAAGGCTTAATACAATACTCTGCATGTCAAAAATTAGGTGATATTAGTTCTAGTATAGTTATAAGCATTGCATAAGAGTAATGTGTTCATTCTCATTGCTCAATACCGAGAACACCCAATCCTGCCGAAAGTGCATAAACTAAAACTTCAAAAACATTCTACAGGATTGGCTTAATGAATAATTGAAACCTTTTAGTTTAGACTTATTCCATTTTCAAGCCAACACTTGTATTTCTTCGAGCCAAACATCCTATTTCCAAGCTAACTCTTGTATTTTTTGAGCCAAGCATCCTATGATCCGCTTATGTTTCCAAATTCAAACAAACCATATTATAATAAACTATCTTCCTTCACTTTTCCTCTACCCAACAACTATTTTCAATTGATCTTTTGGAGATCTATCCACAACTTTGAGTAAAATCTACCATCTCTATTGATTCTACCTTATTGATGTTCGAAGTTGTAATTCATTATTTTATATGCAAGTGTGTGTTTGACATAAGTGTGATTGACTTAATTGAAGTAGTAGAAGTCAGTTGTATTCGACATAGTCGAATACAACATATAGTTGATGCGTCGAACTCAAAATATAACTTGTATGTTTTGGGATTGAAATTGTATGTTTTGAACTTGAGTCTTGATCGCCTATAAATAGACATGACGCTGTATAGTTTTAAACACTTAATTGTTTAACAGTTTCACAAGTTTAAAATACAATTTTTCTCTCTTTCTCTCTTATCTCCTTATTCTTCATTCTTATTGAAACCTTAATTGTTCCATTTGTTCCAAAATATTAGATTTATTCAGAGTCGTAGTTTTAGAATTTATTCATCTGATTTCAATAATTATTAAAATTACAGACATAATTCACGAGTAGATGTGAATATATCAAAAATTACAACTAAACCAAATTTTAATATTTACTTATACCTCTAATGACCACTTTTCATTCAAATATCTTTTACAAAGTTATGATATACATATAACCATTGAGACTTCTTGATTCATCCAAGTCATTTTTGCATCAAAGTAAATTTATGTTCCTATTATTAACGTTATAGTATTAAACTTAGTTGCCGTGTCTTCAATCTATAACCATACTTGGTTTACTTATTTTATTAAACAAGTTCCAAAATCACCAATTAGTTAAAGTATAAAATGAAATCAAAATTCAGTAAATAAATATTTTCTAGAAAGATTGAAATGTCTAGATTAGTAATATAATTTTTGTTTTAGGACATTCACTTCCAATTGGTTAAGTTTAACTAAAGTGTATGAAGGCGTGTAAAAAGGCATGCAGTTTTATCCAACTTGGAACTAAGATTACTCATGCTCTATTTAACCAACTTGGAACTAAGATTACACTGTCTAATAAAAAGGCGTGTAAAAACTCACTTGCATGTATTTTTTTTTAGTCTCTATGTAATCACACATACATTGCACACAACTTCTAATTCGATCAAACTAAACAAACCTAAATTTCTTTTTTGATTTCTTAGTATTTTCCTTTTGAACATTGTTGCTATATTTTTATTTTTACTTCGATCTTTAAGTTATTTAATGCCACTAACAGAAAAAATAGGAGAAAATTGAATTGGAATTTTCTATTTAATATAAACTGCTTTTTATAATAATCACATCAAACTAACAGCAGAAACTGCAGAAGATAGCAAAAAAGTAATGGAATTGCTCTGTTAAATATGTACATATTTGTTTTTACAATTCGCAATCATGAATTGATTGGAGAAAAAATAAGTTGAATTGTGTGACCTCCTGCCTAAAACTGAAAGCATTAGGCAATTTACATCAACGGCCTTAACTAGTTGTGTGACCTCATGACTCAAGAGGATGCTGCAACTGCAACCTTGGGCTCTTCCAACCATTTCCAGACAGTCAGCAGTCCAGTTCTGTCTCCGGTGAAGAAGAGTCCACCAGGAGCAATATCGATTAATCCAACTTCTTGCTTAGCAAACAATCTACCCCTCTCAGCAAATCTGTAAATCATAAATGTAGACATGCGGTCAAGAACAGATTCAAGTTTACATGAGAATGTGATGGTGATGGTTGCAAGTTGACTTACGATGGCAGTTCATAAAGGCGAACTGAATTGTCTCTAGTAGAGCAGAACAATATAGGCTTATTTTTTGGATCAGTCATCCCAGAGAGTGCAACCACACCCTGTAAATATCATAAATAAAAAATATCAACAACTACCTTTCATTCACGGCTATCATAAGAAATATCAATTTGACAACTACAATCGAAAACACACCACCAAATAATGTTCAACAATGTAAAGATGTTAAACATACTAGCTAAGTAACTTACATTTTCTAATTTGTGTGAATATGCAACTTCCAAAGTTTCTGCCACAGTTTTATACCAGACCTTGATAGTGCAGTCTGATGAACCGGATAACAAGAAATTGTCCCAACAAAGAAGGGATGTGACTTCGTCTGTATGCGCATTGAGTGTCATTTTACATTCAAATGTGTCTAGGTCCCAAACCTGAATAAAACAATAAGAAATAATTATCACACGAAACATATATAAAGCAACAAGCAGCTGTGTAGAGCTAAGATAGAAGAACAAAATACCTTAATGCTTTGATCCTTGGATCCTGAATACAGCATCTTGAAAACCCCAACAGTCAGGCAAACTACAGATTTAGTGTGACCGCGTAGGGATGCAACCAGTTCAAAAGGGGAATTGGATTTAGAGCTGCCTTTCCATGCAGAAATTACACCATCCTGTGATTAAAATAATCAAATTTAACATAAATTAACAGAAATGAACTGTTTCATAACATAAGTGAAAGAACAAAATGAGCTATACAACTAGTAGCAATTAGAGGATTAAAAATCTAATTTATCTAGATAACAACCATAAACCAATGTGTGAGTAGTAGTTACCTCTGCTCCAGCTAAGAGTGTATCGTTGCCAACAGTCATGGCAAGTACTCGTCCCTTAGGTCCATCAAGTGTAAACTGTGAAGCAGTCTGAGTATTCCAGGCCTTCACAAAAACCACATTGACATAATCAGCTTACAAGTAATGCTCCTATATAATTGACAAAACCATACAATGGGAGAAAACAATAATTGAAGTAAGAATAAGAGCTTACCTTGACAGTGTTAGGAAGACCAACAAAAATCCATGGGCCTTCACTAATCAAAGAGGTAGCTTCGGCACCAAGATTCATCACATTGGCACATTGACCGGTATGGCAGTCCCATGACCGAAGTGTCCCGTCAGTGCTGCCAGAATAAAGTTTGTCTGATCCATTTGGAAGTGCAATTCCGGTGACAAGCTGTTCACAAATATTTTAATTAAACTCCTTGAGAATTATCAATTCAAAAAGAAGCCAAAATTTCTAGGTTTTATTAGGAATTTAAAAGGTGGCCGATATAAGCCCAAGTACCTTCTTGTGTCCTTGAAGCTTTGCAAGTGTGGCAAACCCATCGCCATAAGACCATGAATGTAAATTCCGGCACTGATCACCATGAACACAGTTGTCATTCATCCAATATTTGCAGATACTTATTGAAGGCTTTTGAGGAACTTGTGTCCTTTCTCTGTCATCTCCCATATTTCTATTCAAGACCTTCTTAGTAGTATGCTTTTGAGGAACTTGTGTCCTTTCTCTGTCATCTCCCATATTTCTAATCAAGACCTTCTTAGTAGTATGCTTTTCAGGAACTTGTGTCCTTTCTCTGTCATCTCCCATATTTCTATTCAAGACCTTCTTAGTAGTATGCTTGGGAGGCAACATGTCATTTCTTGTTTTTCTAATTGTGACAGTTTTCGTTTTCGCAGACTCAGACGATATATGACAACGCTTCCTTGCATTATGATATGATGCAGTATCATCTCTACAAGAACCAGTTGACAGAATTGATGGTGTTTCACTGTGCAGAAACTTACACGGGTTTCTGTTGCATCTTCCTTGGAGCCAATAGATGCATGTTGTCCCAATGACTCGTTCAGTTCTATTGAACCTTTTCACTTTCATAGCCATAGTAATCTAAAAAGAAACAACATTCCAATAACACCCAAAATCCAAATCAGCCGCCGTATCAACATTTCAATACCAAATTTGATCTCATCCCAAATCATATCAAACCCTAAACCCTAAATTTAACACTTCCTAATCCATGTTAATCTAAAAAGAAGCAACATTCAAATAACGCCCCAAATCCAAATCAACCACTGCATCAACATTTAAATACCCAATTTGATCACATCACAAATCATATTAAACCCTAAATTTGAACCTCGTCACTTTCATAACCTTGGTAATCGAAAAATTAACAACATTCCAATAACTCCCCAAATCCAAATCAGCCACTGTATCAACATCTCAATGCCCAATTTGATCACATTCCAAATCATACTAAACCCTAATTTGAGCTTTATAATACCAAATATCAAATCATCACTCATCACTAATCCTAAATCATTCAACCAAATCATACCTTCGTGATAACCTAAAAGTAAAAAATTTGCAACTCGGAATAAAAGAAGCCAAAAGTTACCTGAAATTTGAGAATACGAAATTGAGAATTCGTTGAGCTATCAGAAGAGTTTGTAATGGAAAGGGAATTAAAGGAGATAAAGAACAAATAAAGTGAGGTGAATTAGGCTTTATATAGATTTATAATTAGTTTTGGGCTTTTTAATGAACATTTAATTTTAAGTCGGTTAGAGTGATGTAATCTATTAATGATTCATACATTTATTACACATTAAATCTATTATTTATTAAATATATATAAATAAAAAAATATATGGAAAAGTGGATATACTCTTTTGTTAAATTATAATATACTCTTTTGTTTATGTGTCATGTTATTACATTTTAAAAATAATTATAATTAATTTTATATTAAATTATAATATTTATTTATATTATATTTTAATTTTTTAGATTTTAAATTGATCATCAAAGTAAATAATGAATTAATTATCTCCAAAAATCTATATATTCACATCTAAATCCACCACTTCCCCTCTCTCTTCATATTCTTTTTCTTCTCTTTCATTTTTTTTCTCTTTCTATTTAAACTCCTCTCAAACTCATTTCAAAAGTCTTCTTTTTCTTCTTCTTTGTTAATATAACAAAGGAAAAAAAATAACTTTTGATCTCTTCGAAAAAATGCTAAAACAAACTTCCTCCCTTACTTAGCAAGGAATCAAAATCGTAAAGGGAAAGGGGATAGATTCATACCTTCAATCTTTCATGATGGCAGCGATGCAGTGGTGACTGCGAGTATCTTTTCTGGTGAAACAGTTCTACGTGGAGATGGAGGGATCTCACGGTTGCGCGTTTCAGTTGTCATCGGTGGTTGTGACTTCGAATGGTGGAGGCGGATCTGAATAGATGGTTTCTCATTTTTCCGGCGACTGAGTTGTGATTAGTGGTTCAAAAAGAAATTTGTTTCTTCCTCCTTAATCATTTTGTTCTATCTTTGACTTCATATCGTGTTATTAATGGTGGTGTATGTTGGTTTGTGCAAGTTGTGTTAGAGTGGATGATGGCTGAAAATTATTTTTTGGTTTAAGGTGGTTGAAGAAAATTGTATCAGAACAACATGTTACTATATTTTTTTTAGTTTTATTCTCCTAAAAACTTCCTCTAAATTTCTCTACTATTTCATTTCAGAGTTTTCTCAAGCCTACAATTCGATCGTTTTCTGCAACAGACTGCATAAAGAAGCAACAACTTTTGAACTTGTGATGAAAGCAAAACTCAATCAGTTAGCTTGACAATTTTCTTATGAACATATATTGATTTTTAATGTAGTGGTTTTTATTTTATGTTTTAGTTATTTTTTAGGGGCATGGACAGGAGTTTGTTCAAGAAAATATGTTCCTCCTTATATTGAAGAAGTTGCTTTGTTTCTGGACAAATTTACATATTTAAAGATTTTTTTTTGTCAGTGCTTAAAAAGAAAGTACCAATTTCAATGTTTATATATTGAATATTAAATTATATTTTTAAATTGATAATTTATTATTTTATAGATCTTGAGTTTAATTATGAATCTTAATGAATGTAACTTTCGAAAATACTATGGGTTGAGTCATGATTGAAAAAAAAATTGTGCCACCATGTTTAAGAATTAAACTCTATAATTATTTACTTGAATATTGAAAGGTGTCACAATGTTTAAAGATTAAACCTTATAACTATTTCCTTGAATATTGGAAGGTCCTTTAAAAAATTAAAATTATTGGAAAAACAAATTAAGTATGAATCACATAATAAAAAAAAACAATTTAATTTAGAAAGTATTAGATTTCTCCTAACATAAAAGACAATATTAAATTAAAAATAATGTTATAAGAAGTTAGATAAATAAAATATATAATTTAAAAATAGTTAATATTATAATAAAAATGGAAAAGTATGTTATTTTAGAATAAGTTTATTTTATTATTTTGGAATATGAGTATAGAATTTTTATATTGTAAATCAATCATATTCATTGAATTGCAAAAAAATTAATTTTTGATTATAAGTATCTTAAAATCATATAAACTATAATTTATGATTTATTCTAAAATAATAAAATAAATTTATTTTAAAATAAGTATTCCAAAATGATAACTACAAATAAGTATTCTTTTTTTTAATGGCTAGGATTTAAGTTATAGACATTAGCTTTCTTTTTAATAATTTTGGTACGATGAGAATTAACTTTTGAAGAAGGTTGTTAGTTCAAATCAATTTGGAAAAGATTTTACTCCAATGAAATTTCATTTGATTGGATTTGCATGGAAGAAAAGATAAAGATTTGATTTAACTTAATTGAATTTGAAGAAATTTTTTTTGAATATGCTTGAAGGAAGATTTGTTTTAGATTTATTTTATTTAAGATTGTGCTGAAATTTGATATGCAAAAATAGTGATTGAAAATTCATTCCACTGAGAGGTTTAATTATATATGTTTTGAATTTGCACCTAATAAGAAAGTCTTCCATATCTATTCAAGATGATTTTAAGTGTGATTCGGTTTTTAAAAGAGATTTATTTTGATTTGTTCAAGATTAAGAATTTTGTCACGTGGATAGATTTCAAGCCAAATGTTCCACAATTGGTGAGACATATGTATCAAATTACTTTGAGAGCAAGATAAATTGAAGTATTTATTTCCCTTTTATGATTTGTTTCATTTTCTGTTATATCATAGAAATAAGTGTGCTATCTTGAGATTGGATTTGGATAAGATCTTATTTTTGCAAGATTGCATGTGGAATGCTTAGTTTATATCAATCAAGGATCTCAATCTTTATAATAAAGATTTTATTGATCATGTGTATTTTTGGAGGATGTGATCTAATACATCAATAATAGTCTAGAGATTCAGATTTATTCAAGGTGATCAATCAAGTTTGGGAATCACCATTATTTAAGATGGATCTCGTGTACTTTTTAGAAGTCCAACCGAATTCATGACCTAAATCCTTATGGGATTTTGGAGCTAGACTTTTATGGTTATATAAAGAGTTTATCTCCTTTTGAAGACTTAGACCTCAAGAGAAAACATATACTCATTAAGAGAATTTTGTTTTAGTTAAGTCTTTATTTTTGTATGTATTTTGTACACTTTATTCATGTGCTTCAAATTTAAACTATTTGAATAAAGTATTGACTTTTAAGTTGTTATACCATTCATCTTATTCTTGTAATTGTCTAAACACTAGGAGAGTGTTTGATCATGGTGAGTCTGATTGAATCTTCACGGGTAGTATTAGGAAAATGACTTTGAAATTAGAGAGTTTAGAGTAAGCTCATTTGTCCTTTTGACTATTGAGAGTGAAGTTGTTCTATAAAGAATTCTGAATAGAAATTCACGAGTAGAATTAGGAAGAGAGACATTGAACAAGATTTGTTATAGAAAATTATTTGTACTTTTACTATTGATAGCGGATTTCCTTTCTTGGGCTGAATGTCCCCAGACATAGATGATATTGCACAGAACCGGGTTTAATTCCTTTGTTATTTTTATTCTACCTTTATTTTATTGTTACGGATTTAACTTGTCCTACACATTATGTTAGACATATGTTCGTCTAAGGAACAAAATTTCAATTGGCATCAAAGTAGACACTCTGTTCTATTTGAGCATGTTCTAAGGTTCTTATTCTGTTCAAGATGGAAAATTTCAAAAAAAGAGGAGTAGTTCATCAACCAAAGATTCTTTATGGTATTAATAATACTTCAAAGAATAAAGTTGAGGAAAATTATAAAAATGATCATATATGCAATTTAACGAAAAGTTGCTTTTGCATAACAATTAATTAAATTCAGAATTTTTACTTAAGTACGATACCAGTTCCGTTCTTTCAAACCTGGACCAATATCTCTAAATTGTGATTTCGAAATAAATATTTAAGTTAAAAACATATTAAAATTAAGTCCTTAAGCAAATCCCATTTAACTATTTAATTTAGAATTTAAATGTGAGCACCATCAGAACGATGGTTGTCACATTCTGGACTCTATAAATTTAGTCGGACATGGTGTAAACACAACAAAAACAATTGCTGAAATTTAATTCTAAACTTGCTTAATATATTATAATAATATTTTAAACACATGCAAGTAGCTTATTATAACAGCTACTAAGAAAGACAGTAAAATAGAAGAACTAGTAATGCAATGATACTTCACATAATGAAATTAAAATGCTCCTAAACATGTACCGAATAAACTTTGAATTAAACTCTGAAACTCTAATGCTAGAAAGATTAAAATACGAACGATCCAAAAGTATATTGGAATTTTTCAGAACTTAAGTAAAAACCTCACTTTTCACTTAGTGTGAGTAGATAAACGCTTTTACAAAACTAAAATTTATGCTTAAAAAAAATTCTAAAGACTTGGATAGAAAAAATGAATTTTAAACACCTATTTATAAAGGTAAAATTCATGCACAGGTGTCCTAAAACATGCATAAAGTAGTGGAGAGATGGGTGAAAATTTGGAGGCTAAGTCACAAAATGTGGTTGGTA